AGAAAGACATAAATATTTTATATAAAAATCCCACTTCAGTTTAGAACTTTGAGTAGTGCATCCCTGTGCTTTCAAATTAATAATGCAGCAGCATAGGTCACATATTGGTTGTATTTATGTGCACCCAAACAACCCTCTATGGCTTCATTACTATGAAAAAACTAAACACAGCAGACACAGCAGATTAGGTGTTGAAAACCTAAATACATAATTTTCAATATTTTAACTTTTGTATTTTGTAACATCCATTATATGGTGCATACCCATACACACATGCACACACAAAATTGATCTGAATTTTCATGACAATATTCAGAGAGATTATGGGACATTTCAGTTTTCTACAGATAAAAATGAATACATAGCTTTAATGAATATACTATACACAAGGTCTTTTGTTCTTAATTTGCATCAGATGGGAAAAGAGATAGTAGCATCTATAAACACTGATGAAAATAGATACAGGTGAAGTCAACAGTAATTTCCTGGCACAAAATATGAGTAAAAGTCAATGCCATTTTAAAGATAAACACGCATTTTTCATACCAATAAATAATACTATAAATCCTGCCGTACTGGATTGCAAATAACTTCAGCTGAATAAAACTGCATGACATGGGATTTACTTATCCTGTATGTTCACAGAAACAACTTGTTCTCTGACAGCACTCATTCTTGGCAATTTATTGCAGCTGTCAGCAGCCAATTTGTTCAGATTACTGCTATGCATAAAGGTGTAACAATCATGAGGATTTATTAGCTGATTATCGTAAAGGTGACAGTCAGGATCGCCTTCAAAAACGCAGATGATAAGAAAGTTAAATAATTACATGAAGATTAAAATCATTTCACCTTCATTTTGATCTTAGTATTACCTACATAAACTTACTGCCATATATGTTTTTAATCACAGAAGTATATTGACTCAATATGGAAGAGAAATGATTTACTCATAGCAAAATTATGTGAATATTAAATGTACTCAAACTGAACAATATACACACATACATATGTATTTCTACTTATCAGATGAAGTAACGACTAATACTGCTCATGCAAGTCCACATGCTTATTTGAATGCAAGAAGGCTGCCCCTGTGGCTCTAACTGCTGGTGCTTTCCGAAAAAAGAACTTCTAGACCTCATGTCTTTGGTCCTGGAAAGTTGTTTTTTTTTAAAAAATGATATTCAGAAGAATGCCAGAATTTAATCCCTTGCATGATGAAACTCAGTTCTGGCCAAGCCCAATGTTTCCTCCTACAAATCAGCATATGATCAGAAATATATTTTCCTCGAGGCTTTTGTATGAGGTCTTTTTACAGGCTTTTGAAATCCCAAAATAAACATTGAAATGGTTCTAGGATTTGGGTTTTTTTAGGGTATTTTAAGGTGGAAGTTCACAAGGTGCTACATCCTTTAAACTCTCATGGAGAATGCATACAACTGAAACTCAAATGAATATTACAAACACATAATGCTCAAAGAATGGAAATCAATCAGTCAGCATCTCATTTCAGGAACCGCCATACTGAACATGCCTGGGCACCAAGGTGAAGACGGAGCTTTATGCTAGTTCTGTGACAACGTACCCTTCTCCTCTTCCTTCTCCTAATTAGGATGCCATGCTGTCACTATCATTAAGACAGACCACCGTCTTGTTACCTTCCTCCCTCTAACAAGCCACCCCTTCCACTTCCATCCTCCTCCTGTCACGCCACCCCAAAGCCAGAATCTCACCTTCCAATGTCTCCAGCCTTCTCGAACATCCTTCCTTCATCTTCCTGCCCTCAACAAAGGATTGCAAGCCCAAGCCCTCGCAGTCTGAGCACACATGCCATCGATGCCTTGTCACGTTCCCAGCTTCACCCTGGCCCTTACCATGCTCCAGCCTAACGAGTATGATGACACAGGCAGGGCCCACAGAAGTCTACGTTCCTGATTTCCCACTTCTTTTATTTCACTGAAGTGCAGCTGAGACAGAGTATCATTCCAGGAGAAGTTATGACATTCTGCTTTGGAATAAAATTTGCAAGTTACAGAGCTTAGCAGGGTAAGAACATTTCAACTCAAGGGGGCTTCCCATGCTGTTTTCCAGGAGGAACCTGGAGTCCCTTCAATCTTCCACCCAGCCACCCTGTTCTCCCATAGCCAGCTCAGTTTGGAACTGCTGAACCAGTTTTAGGGATGGCACTCTTCAAAGAGATCCCCTGGCAAAGCAACTTGATAACGCATATTTTGCACAGGAGATCCTGCTGACCTTCATGAGCGCTCTGCAAGCAGATGAATAGGGAGGACACATAAAAACCAACGCTGTGGATGACAGGTGAGAACTGCTCCTTAAACAAACTTTTTCTTCTGCTTTCTCAATTTGGTCTGCTATTTCCCCCAATTAGAGGATCTCTTCTGTCACACATGGCTTCCCCCAAACCAAACTTTGGCCAGGCAGGATGTCTTCAAGAAATAATTGTTTTCATTTGCATTTAACAAAAATATTCCTATATAATACAACAGCTGCTTCTTGCACATTATTCAAGAAAGCAGGAAGATCATGGTAAGATGAAAGGGATTACTCTCTACCACTGAGCAATGCTAGAATACTACCAGGAAGTCTTTTGTTTTCCTCCTACAGCCTCATTATCACTTTTCCTGGAACCTGAATCAAAATATTCAATTTATTACGTGTTCCTTGACAGCCACAAAGCCTTAGTCATGGAGCACAACTCAGTCATGCTTTTCAAAATTAATATACATTTAGCATAACACACACACACACACACACACAGAGCAAGTCTGTAGTGTCTGTACCAAAGTATTTCCAGCTTTTAGAGGCAGCCTCGAAAGGAGAAACTGGGGAAGAGAGGTCAATGTAAAGTGGAGCTGTCAGATGTCGGTGATTTTTATCCACAGTGACTGGAAAAGAGTATCAGGGAGGGGGAATATTAAGACCTATTTTTGTATTCAGATTGAGCTTGACAAATGACAAAGTTTTTCATGGAAATCTTCATGGAGAGGAATTTGTTGGCAGGTTGCATTATCCAGAGATAAGGTACCAACAGAAGGTGAAATGAGAGTGTGTCTGAAAGGACAAACTGAAGAGGGATTACATATACACTGACAGCAGAGAGGTCACAAAAATCAAGAGCAGCAAGGTTTCAGGAAAAATACCACTGATTTTGTTAAAATCAGTTATGTACTGCAGAAGCAGTACAGATTAGTTTTGTCCAAGGAGCAGCTTTTTTGGTATATACAAGAATTACATCTATTTAAGAAAATGATAGAAAACAAAACAAAACAAGGTTCTCCCACTGAAAAATGCTAAAAACTTCAAGCATTCTTTTTAGAACGAAGATTTCTCATGCTATCAAATTTTTTGGGCCTAAATAAAATGTAGAAATCATTTGTTACTTGCATAATAGCATGCAGTTACTAGAAAGAAATAGACACATACTTAAGATATGTAATTTCTTCAGGTTTCTGAAAAGCTACCTAAGCAGCTCATGTGTTTGCAGTTACAAATTTTCCTTCTCTGATTTCTCTATCACATTCTTATTTAGGTTTCAAGCCCCTTGGAGCAAAAATGGTGTCTTTTATTTTATGCAATGCTCTTAAAAAGACTTTATAATTACTGGTAACAGTAACAACATAAGTGCTGTTTTGATGACAGTGTTCTGAAAAACCACACATGAAAACTCAGAATCTCACCACCTTTTGGATAGGAAGGTTAAAGTTAAGAAGAAAATAGGAATAATTTCCCAAGGTATATCATGTGTTGACACAGGACTAAATGATTATGTTACTTCAGAAAAATAGTTATTGTTACCATATGCGCTGACTGAAATCAAGCAAGGGAAAAAATACAGTGTAAACTTCACATATAAACATTTCACCCCATCCACAGGGTTTCATCATATAAAATAAAATCCTACTGTGTATACTTCAGAAAAGTGGTTTTGTCGATATTAAAGCTGTTTGCTTGCTACAGACTCTGTATGTATTCTCAGTTCCCACAATTTATGGTAGGAAATAAACACAGAATATTACCTGACTGATTTAATTTGATAAAGAAAGCCATTACCCTAAACAGAACGAGAGGGAGGAAAAGGTCAATAGAAACATTAACCACACTGACAACAAAAGCACATGGCTTGGCCTGTGGGATTTCCATTACTGATTTTAACTACCAAAAAAAGTAATTCTACTAGTTAATAGTATCAACGTCCCAGTGAAAGCACGTACAACCAATATTCTAACAAGCAACCAAACTACATAGGATTAATAATACTTACTATTATTATGAATGTATGGATATCAATTAAACTATGATGAAAATATCTGAGCTTTCCAAATAGCACCTACTTTGTAGTATCTGTAAGCACAAGACAGTTTTTTCCCATATTAGCTAACAGCTAACGCCATTGTTAAAAAACATGAGCATCCTTCTTCTTCCTACACAGTAAAATGGAGCATAACCACACAAATTTATAACATTTCTTGAACTCTAAGACAGAACCCAAAGATCCACTTTTCCTGAAAATGAATTAGGTGAATGATCTTATTTCTTTGCCCCAAAAGCTGTTTGTAGTCCTTCAAGACTCTCATTTCATTTACCAAATAGGTTAAAAAATAAGTACATAAATTTGGTCTTATGCACCTGTTACAAGTCACGAGAGTTATTTCTCCTCCAAGCCGGACGTTGCCGCATGGAACCTCCTGCATCTTGATTATTGGTCTAAAAGTGGAATTTTCATTTTGGAAAACCTGTGTCTATCAATTGGTAAAAGGTGCCACCTACTGGTCAATAAAATTTATTTTACACCATCAAAGTAAAGAATTACATCAATGCAGCAAACTGTACTGATACTTTGTAAAAAATCCTCCTCCACCTTTAAAAAAAAAAAAAGGGCAAGAACAAATGGTCATAAGAAATAGTTTCAACGGCAAGGCTCATTTTAATCATCTGCTCTCATCCCCAGGGAACAAGAAGGCTGTAATTGCACAAACCTGCCAATAAAATCATCCTTTTTGCCAGCATCTTTGTCCCACACGGTAATATCAATAATTCCACCTCGTTCTTCATAGAGATGAAAGTCAAACTGCTCCCTCCACTGAGGATTCAAAGTTTTTGGCACAATCTGAAAGGAGAGCAACAAGAAAGTCATATTGCATTGTGCAGGCATACTCTTTCTTGAATTGTTAATTTGATCTTTAGAGTCTGTTCAGGAAGTTTCTTCTGTTTGCAGTACGAGTATCTTAAGCAGTGAGAATTAAAAAATAGTAATTAGAAAAGACTACTGGCCAGTTCTCTCATGTCTCTCTGACATAACAGCAACCTCCAAAATCCTGCAGCCTGTCACCTTCAAAAGCCTTCTGAACAAAGGATTTACCCTGGGAATGGATCCATTTTTCTGTAGAATAATTATGCCCTCCCTTATGTGACAGTTAGCTGCAAAGTTATGTGTCTGAGCCTAAAGGAAAACAAAGCACCTGCAATGACAAGTAGATGGTGTCTGTAAGTATTTAAACAGAAATAATTTTATCATGTCCTCTTGCCCCAGGTGCAGTAATACTGGGAGAAAGATGATACTACGGTTTACTTTTTATGGAATAATAGTCTTTTTTTCAAAACTATATTTTACTTCCTTTCCTTTGCAACTCAGATGAAAGTAACTTTCTCAGTCATTTTCAGTCCAGTTACTTCTGACAAAAGAAGTAACTTCAATGGATTTCAGCCCATGTACTTCTGAGCACGCTCTGCAGAACAGAAAGCTTGCAGGTTTTTCTACCATAATGCCAAAGCTGTAGCCACAGTAGTCACAAGTGTCCTGACCAAGAATGGAAACTATCCCGTACCTTCCCTATGAAGCAATCACTAGTTTCTACATCCACCAGTTCTAACTGGCTTGAAAAAATGGAAAAATCAGAGACGATTAAAACACAGAAATGCCATGAAAATTTGTAAGTCACAAAACCATGAAATTTGATTTCTTCTAATTTCAGATTAAGTGGCCCTAAGGTGGGCTCAGAGTTCCGCAAACATGGCACCTAAATGCTCCTGGCCTCTCCCTCACTTTGCCCTTTGCCTGGCTGTGAAAAACACACAGGCTGTCATGCCCATTGAGATAGAATGGTCATGTGCATCATTGGTGGTCCCAGCATCTTCCATAAACAGCCACTTTCAAAACAACAGGGATGAATGAAATAAAAAATAACAGCAAGAAAGCCAAGCAAGCCTCCACAACCATTTTCTCCCCGATCAATCTTCTCTACCTGTTAAGCTCATACATATACAAAACTTCAATGAAACTTGCTGTAAGGACACAATGAGGAAAGTGAGAATATAAGCATGACATGGTTTGAAGATAAGACCATACAAAGGATCAAAGAGGTGACCTGCATCAAGCCATAAAGGCACAAAGGTGGAATCTACTTGTTAGGATCACTCCACATCTCTCCCCTGTCACGAATGACCCATAACAGTAAATAAAAGCCAACACAGTCTGTATGGAAAATCAGGTGTGCCTCCCTGCCACCCTGCATTTTGCAGTGCTACATTTTTCCCCATCTAGTATTATTTTTACTTATAATGAAATAAGAAGAAAACATCTAAACAAAACTCCAGGTGCTCTGACAGCTAATTAATACAACAATAAATCTCCGTCACTATTTAAATAGTCATGCAAGCCAAAAAATACCACAAAGAAGGACAAAACATTTCAAAGGCAGCCAATGCTCATTTTAGGTCACAGCTAAATTACCTTGCTCTTGTACTTCTGATGCCCCAATCTGAACTTCACATAAGGATCACTGAGTCCATTTGCATCCATCGCCTTAAGTTCACGACCTTCAATTAAGGTAATGCTAACTATTCCTCTCCATAGCTGAGATTTTCTGTGCAAGTCTGAGAGACGTAAGCTCTGGGTCTGAAACTTTAGGGAAATAAAAACACAGATTTAGCTAAAACAATTCCAAAAATTTCCCCTGCATTTTAATGTTCAATTTCATGTAGCTATGAATGTAAAACAACCATCTTAAGCCATTTTGAAGTTATTTGACAGTACATATGTAAGCTATATTACAAAGAATTACTTGGAGAGAAACAAAACAGTGACAAATACGCAGGTAATGTCAAATGCTGCTTTTGCAGAAGCAAGCAGAACAAATGCTACTTAAGGAAATGTTCAGAAAAAAAAGAAGTGTTTTCTCCAGCTTCACTTTTCTCTCAGCTGATACAACTAACAACATTACAAATAAATGTTACGAAGTCTCTTCTGTTAGTAACATATGATTGAATAAACTTGAACAAACACTAAAATAAACATAAAAACAGCAAGAAAATGAAACTTCCATTAAAATAATATAAACCCACCATGAGAAGCATGGACCAAGGAAAAATAAACTACTGTGCACGTGACAACTATCTCAGCCTCTGAAATGAGGTGGTATTCTCAGAAACAGCAAGGAAAATTGAATTAAACACCAACACATCAGTTCAAAGAGTTTCAAAACAAGACGTTGCAGAGCCTGTGATTGGAACTGTGCAGAAACTTGTGGACTGTGAACCCTCAGCTGCTGACTTTGGGGGTTAAAAGAAAATTCAGACGCACCCACACAAACCAGATGGTCACAGCATTCACCAGTGAACCCCACTGGGGGCAGGAGAGCCAGGGGTTATAAACTTGAGTAACTTGACATCAGCTCCAGCTTGCTCTGAGCTACAAGGGGTAGAAGGTACCAGAACAAGGAAATCACCTTTGCGCTCCTGAGGTAGGCAAACGCATCTTGGGTGCATCTCAGGAGCAAGGCTCTCCCTTTTATTCTGAAGTTTTATTCATTTAAGGTTACTTTATCTAAAATCAGAGCACTGAATAGCTAAACAATATTTAAACTCACAAATTATTCTTTCTAGGAATCAAGAAAAGCAAGTCTGCATGTATACTCAGCTGTAAACATATCAAATATATGCATTTTCTTTATTATGCAATGTATTTTGCGCAACAAAGGCTTTGTGGGCTCAGCAACCCTCCATACATGAAGGGTTGCATGGTTGGCTTCATCACTTGCATACCGCCAGTATCTCAGTTAGAGGTTTTCAGTGCAAATTTGGTTTGGATCTTTCAGAGGGTAAACACAGCTGGATGGTTACAGCTATGCAACTGCGCCAGGCAGGAATTTTATTTTATTACCCAGAGATTATAAAAAGTACACTGAAGTATAATCACTGGATTATAATCTACACTCACCAGACTCCTGAGAGAAGTGTAATATGTGAGGTCTGGGGCCACTGGGGTTGGAGCAAATCCGAATAACATGCTTTTAGCAGTATTTCAGATATCATATTGGCATGTATTTGTGTTTTCTAATGGCTACTCCTTCTGAGCAGTATGGTTCCTCCCAAAATATTTCACTCTGTTTATTGAAGATCTCTCTTCTTGAAGTGAAGGATTTAACTGCCAAGAAACTTCTCACAAACTTACTGTTTCTCCAAAAGCAAACAAGGAACTGTGGAATAACATTTAACTTAACCTGTGACATGAAGCAACAGTGGGACACCAAAAAGCAGAAACTCTACAAAAATTAGGGCACAAGTGGGAAACTCAGTTGCCAGAGGAGATCTTGTTTACGACATGGGAACATTATTAAACCTCATAATTTTTTTCTCGGCACAAATCCCCGTTCACTGGGGGTATGCAGTCAACATTGCCAAAGACTTGTCTCGTGAAGAAGTAGTAGATTTTTTTTTTTTCTTGTTTCAGTTTCTTAGAAGGTTTAGAGCAAAAGAAACACTGAATGGTAAATAACCAAAACTGACTCTGCCCTGAACATAAGGTGATGAGAGATACGGAAAGAAGAGACAAGGCATGTTTAGAAAGATATTTCATACGGGGATTGAAGCAGTGGTTAGTTGAGACTTATTTTGGCAAAGAATACACAGTTGTTGGGGTTTTTTTAAGAGTTGAGTGGGAATCCAAATGATTTCCAGGATACTATCATGGAAAATAAGCATGAGTTTGCATTTACAACTCTTTAAAGCTTAAGCACAACTGCATAGCTGTCTACTTCACTAATCACAAATGAGACAGTGAATCATTTAGAGGGCATACTTGATATAAATTCCGTATTTTCAACAGCTCTTAAAATAATTTGTTGCATTAGAGCAGTTGCCACCATATAAAACACGCTGATTTTTTATGACCAGTAGGGAGTTTCATGAATGTGGGTAATTTACATATGATGTGGCAAGGCAAGATCTAAAGGACCAGGCGCAGAGTGTAAAATGACAGATGGGTCAGACAGGAGTTTACAAGAGTCAGGCAGAAACCCCGAGAACAAACGTTCACGTTGCTGGAGAAAGCCCTTTTGGGTCAGAGCCAGATCTCTCAGTCTACGACACACAAAGCGCCTTGCAGAGCCTGGTGGCATGTTGACCGATAGTGAAGCTGCAGAGTTAACATCTCAATCTGCTGGAAGAAAAGCAGCTGGCTGCTAAAAGTGAAGTGATGTGGGCTGGTTGTGGCTGTTTCTTCCTCGAGGTAGGGAATTTGGACTACGGCAGTGCTCTTTTCCCCCTGTCTTTATTGGTAACACGCAGATCCATGGAACAGCAAGAGGGAGACATGCTGGAAGAGTCAGGGTAGAGCTAGCTGGAGCAAAAACTATTGAGATTTCCTGGACATGAAAGGCACAGGCTATGTGGCTTTCTCCAGCAAGAATAACTTCCAGCTGGCATTTTTCTTGTTTCCATGCAAGACTGAACAGCTTCTGAACAGACATCTAAAACATGCTTTCCTTCCAGTCAAAGTCATCTTTATCCTCAGAAATTACAGATACTGACATAATCTCTAATTTCATATAGTCTTGTAGGAAGTAAATAAATAAAAATGTTCAGATTTCAAGTCAAATTTGACAAAAAAGCTAGTAGATGAAAAATGGGAAAATGAGACTCATTTCACATTTTAGAGTTCTTCCCTCATGAACTTAATTTCACAATGTGAGACAGGTACATGATCCAGCCCACAGTGAGTTAGTTACAAAGTCAGAAGGGAAACCATGAGAGCAAAACGAAGAAATGAGCATAGAGCTTTCCAAATTTCTCCTATGAAAGAATATTTCTCAAGACTAATCTTAGATAACTTATTTCCCTCAGAAAGCAGGTAATCATATTGCACCCTGGCTTCACTCTTCTGCCACAAACAGAAAAAAAACCATGAAGAAACTGCACAGCTTTTCATTTATCTGGGAATAGGTGGAAGTTACATATTTCATAATATTTCCATCTGAAACTGGCCATAATGTCTATATAATGCCACAGTTTGGAAAGAAGCAAGGTCAAGATCTCAGGCCACAACCAGCTGTCATTAACATGGGATTATTATTAACATTCTTGTGCACTTATACGCAGGCATGGAGACTCCCACCTCACGTGTTCTAAACAAAAAAAAAAAGGGTGTAGGGGGATGGGAGCAGGGAGGTAAGTTGCAGCCTGCATACTGTGAAGCTTTCTCTCTCTCTTTTCCCAAAAGGAAATTAAAATTAGACTGCTGGAAAGGAGTCTTTCATGTCAAAGGATACTCAAAGCTGCTCATGAAAGAAAAACATCTTTTCGTATCATACACTGCTTTAATGGTTCTACTATAAACAGCATGCAAAAGCCCAACCTTTTCTTATGTGATAAAATTAGCTTTTTAGTGTGTTCCACCTGTTCTGTCTAAATGTGGGGTAGTGGGAGGGCTAGGGATGTCAGCAGCAGAAAATCTTCTGACACAGAACTGTATCTATTAGATGTGATCAATACAGTTAGCCAAATACAACATCAGAGCTGAAAGATGATCTTACAACATGGCTTAATATTCTGCATATGGTCACGTATTACTGGGTAATGTTACTGGGTGGGAAACCAACTAGGCTTAGCCAGAATCTGGGTGTTGTTCCCAGGTTCATCAAGACCACATTCTTGACGAGTGTATTAACTGCCACAATTTTGTTGCTACTTTCTTCAAAAGAAGGGACGCCTTTAGTAAGTTCTTTTGAAAATCCTCTATTTCAGTTTATCTTTGGGTATCTAAGTGACCTTTGAAACTCTAGCCCATAATGAGTTGGAGAAACCCCACGATCATTCATCAGTCCTCATGCCCTGTGAAGACCACCTCTCTCACTTGCACGTGCTCGTGCCCATGCGAACAGACTCTGCTTTTACTAAATCTTCTCCTTGTTACAAACACCACTAGGACACGCTCATCCTCCTCTGTGTCCTTGAACACAAAATCTATTGTTCAAGAACAATTGAACAATAGACAGAAATAGAACAGTGTGCCTACCACAAATTCATTTTTTAAAAAATAAAGTTTTAAAAAGTAAATAAATAATGCAGCTATATGTCTTGCAGAGGCATCTCTAACCAAAGAATACTTTGGCTTGGAAGCTTAAATAAAATACCAATCAAGAAAATAATGAAAGCATGTAGGAAAGAACGATACTCCTCTCCATTGCTGAACAGAGGACAGATGTACAAATACAGCAGAGTGAATCAAAGCCAGTGTTGTAACTGACTGCTGCAAAGTCAAGTAAACAGAATTCTTCTCCCCCAGTTTCTAGGATGCTTGCACAACTTGGATAAAACATTTAAAATAAAGACTGAGAATGTCAGTTGATAGAGCTGCTAGTTCTACGTACCTTGTCCACACAATGAAAAAATCAAGGGACAGTTGTCTGCATTCACAATGCTTTCCCCTATTAGAAACTACACAAAATGTAACACCTTGCAGAAGTCATCAACATGTAGACACTGAGCGACAAAAATGCCTTCAATGGGATCATGATTTTTAATGTTTGCTCGTTGTGACTAAGCAAGTTTTGTAAATGGACTACTACTGATAACGACTGCAATATGAAAGAACATTTACCTTAACTTTCTGTCAACTATATTTTA